GCTCTAAACTGCCAACTATTTACAAAAGACTCATATATATTACTATAATAAGGCCTATTTGGACTTACGGGATCGAGCTTTGGGGCTCTACTAAACCATCAAATTCCTCTCGTATCCAATCCCTACAATCCGAAATCCTTCGTAAAATCCTTAATGCACCCTACATTGTCACAAATAAAATCATCCATAATGACCTTAATGTACCATATGTTTCCGATTTAGCTCAATCCAAATACCTGTCCTTTCATAATAAACTTCTGAACCATCCGAACCCTCTCGTTTCCAACCTTGCTTCCTCTTCTATTCCTGATAACCCTCCTAGGCGTCTGAAAAGAAGATGGCCTCGGGACCTTCTAATTTAGAAATATAATTGGAGTGCTACCAATGGGTAGTTTCTCCTCATGTTGTAAAAGTCATATTACTTGTTCATATTTACTTGTTGTATTTATTATTAATTACAGTTGTAAATTTCGTTAATAAAAAAATAATAATAAAAAAATGTAATCACACGAACAATAATAATTTAAGAGATAGTTTTTAATATTTTTTTCAATAAAACATGGTTATATTTTACAATTTGGGGGGGCTTCAGCCCGAAAGCCCCCCCGTAAATCAGCCTGTGTACATACAAATATGTATGTGTGTGTGTATATATATACATACATATATAGAATAAACATAGGAAAACGAAATAACACAAGTAACTGGGGGATCTTAAGAAATTCTTATATGTACATTTCATGATCAGTCGGATTGAGAAAGATGTATGTGCTTAAAAAGGAGAGATTTAAATGAGGAAACTGAATGTGCATGTCGGATATTGGGAGGGATAGAATTACAAAAGGAGACGGCTTGAACAAAGGATTTGTTAAACGCCAGAGTTCGGTAAGGAGTATAGAGGTCAGAAGCACGGGATCTGGTGAGACGGGATTGAATAGAGGATTTGAATTGTTGGCTCTGAAAAATGTAGGAGGGCCCCTGATTTCTAATAGCCTGGTTAAGCTAATTTTACTTCTTTACCCATAAACTTAAAAAAAAGTAATGTAAAAAGGCTTTAAAATATATGAATAAAGGTAAAAATAAAAAGCTATGATCTATTTTTACTATAAAAAAAACAAACAATAACACTGAGCTTACAATAGTACTGTATTTGGAATTTAATTATTTTGAACAGTTTTTGAGCACTTACTTCTTATTAAAAAAAAACCGTGACTACTTTTAGAAAAACACAAACTTAAGGACTGAAACATCCTGTATACAATAGGTATTAGTAACAGTAGTATTAGTATAGACCTCTATGATTAAGAAAGGTAGTAAAAATGTTTGTTCTAATTATCATTGAATAAAAGATACCAGTAGCATGAATTAGTTCATCATCTGGATCATTACACAAGACTGGAAGAAGAATATGGTTATATAATCTCTGAAGAACAAGCTGGATTTAGAACTGGGAGGCCCTGCAGGGACCACATCTTTATAATTAGGCAACTCCTGGAGAAGAAAATGGCATACGATGAAGAAGTGCACCTAATATTCGTGGAGTTGTAAAAAATCTATGGCATAGTGACATTAAAGAAGCTGTGGCAAACGCTGAAAGACTTCAATAAAAGTCCCTACCTTGTAACAACCATAAACAGCCTGTATGAGGATCCCAAAGCATGTGTTAAAACCGGAGCATTTGTTAGTTACAGCTTTTTCATAACAAAAGGTTTAAAACAGGAATGTTCACTGTCTCTGCTTCTCTTTAACCTCCAAGAAGGGCACTAAGAGAAAGGATGGAAAAAGGTAGAGGTATATGCATAAAGATTGGAAATGATTGCCTGTTCAATCTCCAGTTTGCTAATGACCATGTACTCATCACTTCAAAAGCAAAAGATGTAGAATATATAATGAGAAAAATTCTCTATGAATACTCGAACTAAGGGCTAGAAGTTAGTAAAGACAAAACAGTATATATGACCTTTAATAGCCAAGGCGAATATGTACTATTGGACAATTGGATGTTAGAACCTAAAGCTCAATTTAACTATCTATGAAGCTGGGTATATATGAAGGGTACATCAGATATGGACATTGAATAACACATAAAAAATGGGAAGATAATCATCAGAACCTTATATTCGGTTCTGTGGAGTAAATCAGTGTCCTTAAAAAATATATATATATTTATAAATCGATCTAGGAAAGTGTAACTCTCTATTCAGCCAATTCATGGACAATTAAAGAGTGTCAATCAAAAAGATTGCTAGCTCTAGAAATGGAATATTGGAAAGCGATCATGTGCATGTGGTGTTTCTGGTCTTCAAAAACTGCCAAATAGTAAATAGTAAAACTGAAACAAGTACAACAAATGGAGAACATACTCCACACCATTGAAACCATGAGGCTGAATTGATATGGACATGTGAAGAGGATGGAAGAGGGTCAATGGCCTAAATGAATTTGGGATTGGAAACTCCATAGCATGTAAATGCTATGTATGTACATGAATTGTTAATTGTAGAGTTAATACATGTTATCAGGCAGCACTGTAGCTATTGTAAACAAAGGCAGATTGGCTGGGGTAAGGTTACTCAGACGGTAGTAGTCCTTTGTTTCTGATAGTTTGATGTATATGTAGAGCAATAAAAGTGTTTTGTATAGTTGTTGTGATATAAAGTTTTTAATACAGCCTCATTTGTTTCCTGAAGTGATTTCCTGACATCACAGTTAATGTTATATATGTTAATGAGAATGGAGAGTACATGCAAACATTGAAGAATGGAGATACGATTAAATATTTAGGATGTACATTCTCGGAAAGCTACAATTCAATGAAGATTCGTTGAGTAAATTGAATGAAAATCTTTACAAGTTGGTAACCTCTTGCTTACTTAAACCTGAGCAGAAACTCAACATTGTTAATCAATATTTGTTCCCAGGTCTTTCTTACTCTCTCCAAACTGCGCCCCTCACAAGCTCATGTCTTACTAGACGCTATCGACGCCATGATTCGCAGGAGCGTAAAGGCCATTATTGGATTTCCTGCGAATACTTCCACGCTGATATTGTATGCCCCCAGGAGATACCGAGGATTGGAATTAATCCGCTGCCAATGGGAGGCTCCTCTTCAACATTAGTCCATTGCTCAGTGACTGTCCAATGGGCCTTTTTACAATCTATGTTCGATTATTTGGCTGAAGTTGCTGAATGTGCCGAGAGATTGGGAGTTGATTAGGATCATCGCAATGTGAGAGCTCTATGGCAGTTGCTACAAGAAAATTCGTTTGAGAAATGGCCCAACTGCAGATGGTAGGGCATTGGTGTTCGCCATTTTAAAGAGACCCCGAAAGCGAATAAATACATCTACGAAAAGCAAGTACTTTCCGGGTCTGAATTATCAAATGCCCTGAAACTAAACATTAATTATACACCCCTGCGTGGAGTCCTAGGTTTCAGCGGACAGGTCAGAGAAGTTGGGTCCCTCTGTTGTAAATGCAGGAGAGTCTGAAACACCAGCCCACCAGCCTCCAACAAATCCCTCCTCATAACACTTTGTCACCATAGGGTTAAGTTCGAGTTGATGAGGCTCCTCAGGGAAAGAAAATTCACTTGCTTTGAAGATGTCTCTTGCATCGATAGTCAAGGCTCTACGAGATATGCGGATATTGTCACATTTCCCAAAACAGGAAGGACAGCGCTGATCTTGGATCCAACTGTCCGCTTTGAGAGCAATGACCTCGATTAGACGGGTGAAGTGGAAAGGGAAAAGAAGAACACGTATGATACATATATCCCTTTCCTAAAAGACAAGTTACAAGAGAGATAGTACACTGTGAGAGGCCTCTGGTTTGAGTCTCACAGAACGATCCCAGGACAAGGAGCTTCCTTGAGGAACTAGGTTAGTATGTTGACATTAATGACGTAGCAAGGTTGGCTGAAAATATAGTTCTCGACTTTCTGGGAATCATTCACCAACACGTGCATGGGTAGGGTGAGAGTTTTAATTTATGTATTTATTTAATGAAAAATGTGTGTTGTATTTGTTTTATATTAAATTGTATTTAATTCTAGATATATACACTTTTGTTTTTTGTTATTGTTCTATTAATATTGTGTATAAAGAGAGGGAAGGGAGAGAAAGGGAAATTGAATGTAAAAAAAAAAAAAACATGAACAAAGAAAGGAAAGATATATATATATATATATATATATATATATATATATATATATATATATATATATATATATATATATATATATATATATTTATTATACTCATATATACTAACCACTTCTGTATATTTATATATAAGTTTTATTTATTAACTAGTATGCTGAGTGTCTAGCAACCCAATATAATTGAGCAGCAAGCTTTTATATTTTATATGAAAATAAAGTGTTTCTCTCTTAATGTTGCATTTAAATTTTATAGAGATGAATATGGTGCTGGGTACCGAAAACTTTTCGAATTTTAAGGTATGAAGAAACATATCAACTAAGAGAATGTTGAATGATATATACTTGAATATTTAATAATATAAAAACAGTAATGCTACATCACATTGTACTTAATTAGACAGTAGATTTGCATGCCGTCATCAGGTCTAGGTAATGTAGTAATACAACTAATAACTAACACTGTAATGTTATGCACAGATGGATTTATGAGGGGGGCGTTTGGGCTGAATTTCCCCTCCTATAAATGGTAAAATATATCCATGTCTTATGAAGAAAAAAAAAATTATCCCTAAAAGTATTATTATTCATGTTATTGCATTTAATAGAATTTCAAGAATCACTTTAACACCATTCCATGTAGGTAGTAGTTTCTTTCTTTTTTCTCAAAGTAATTATCGTTATAATGAAAAGAAAAAAATAATAATAAAAATAAATCATTTGTTTGTTTATTCTAAGAATCCTCAAGCACTGAAATATTAGTTAATGAAATGTAATTAAAAAAATTATTTGAATGAAATTCATTCAATAATGCCCAATATTGGTCTGGAGGTAGGAACTGTTTCAGGAGATTTGTTGTACAAATAAAATAATATAGACATGGAATTGGTAAATATATCATCTATTTATTGAAATAACAATGAAAACAATACAACAAACTTCATAACAATTACTAAATGGTCACTATAAGTACTATAAAGGTATTTAAAATACATTTTTATTTAACAAAAAAAATATATATTACACTATTTATCAATAACGAACACACTAAAAAACATACTTTGAAAATAGATTTGTTTAGTTTATTGATAAAATTTGCTTTTATTTTAAAATTCCATATCACAGACAAAACCCATACATGGTATGAGGGTAGACAATAAAAAAGATAAATAAATAAAATAATAATTGAGTTTGAATTTCATAAAATCTTATAATGATGACGTTTTCATAATAGTTGTCAATGACTGTCCTGCTTGAAGAGAATCGGACGGTGTAATGTCTCTATTAGCTACAGACCCTGAATTTACCTGCCTTTCATGATATTCCTAGAAAAAAAAAGAAAAAAAAAGAGTCCACATTTCCAAAGTCATCCAAATAAAAACTGTTTGAAAATGCAACAAATAAACTGATAAATCACCCAAAGGAGAAAGATTCTCTACCTTCAGTAGCAAGGAAGCAAAAATTTTAAAAAAAAATTTTCACTATTATAGGTTGCTATTATAATTTATCAAAGTAAGATTAAGTTAACAGGGTCTCATTGGTTATTTGGCAATAAGTTAAATATATTTTTATTCTAATTAATAGGAATTTTTTTCAGAAGAGTGGCCATTTAGGTCAGTCAATCAATGTTTATAGAAGAAAATGGAACAAATACAATTTCTTAAAGCCATTTTTTTTTTTTTTATTAGCTTAGCAAGGAGGTCAACATATTAAAAGTCCTCACTGCTAGGAGGTGAGCCAGATGAGGTAGGAGGGAGTGCCCAGGTCACTATTTCTTTTGTTGATTATATTAGGAAAACCATGTGTCCTAGTGATAAGCTTGTTCTATTAAAAATTAAGGATGAAAAAAATTGCAACTGGATTGATTACATTTTGATATTGAAGTGACAACTTCTTTAGGCACGTTTTGCACTTTTTTTGTGGACAGTGAATTAGATTGAGCCGTCAGAGCTCCGATGTGTAAAACTCAGGTAAAGACAGCTGGTGTTGACTAATTGAAGTTTTTTTGCATATCTCAAAAACTAAATATCGGACCTGCACATTGTTACCTAGGAAAATGTTCATCATTTTATCTTCTCTGGAATCAGCTATTATTCAAAATTCTATCTTAATGCAATGCCGTGTTAGAGAGCCTAAAAGAGAAACATAGTGTCGAAAATGAAATTATGACGAATTTTATTGAAGATATGAATTAAAATATCTCAGAAACTAAAAATCGGACCTGCGTACTGTAAGCAATTTCATTCTCTTTATAATGAGCTATGATTTATTATTCATATTTCATATTATTAATCTCGCCTAGTCAATGTTTTCACTTTTAACATGTGGTCAAAAGCACACACCTTATTTTTTTATTTTTAAAAAAATTGGTCTCCCGTTTTAATCTTTATATTATTACCTAACTCATTATTTTTTCATTCTATGATAAAGCCTTAGAAGAAAGATGCTCAATATCAAATTTCCTTCACAAATATATATAAACAGAGTGTTTCAGGGTTAAGTGGCCAAACTGCAAAAATGAACTAAGGACCTCAAAACAAGATAAAAATTTTCGCTGTTATGAATTATTTACGTTATATGAAATAAATAAAACTTATTTATTTGTTCTATCTACTTTATTAATTAAATGTAAATATTAAGAGTCATATTAAATGTTGTTCAAAGTGATTTCCTTGAGCACTAAGACAGGCTCGGCGTCTTTCTTCAACAGTAGCAGTGGCAGAACGGCACTGGGTATGCGTTAATGTTTCACAAGATTCAATTATTTATCCTTCTTCGTATGGAATTAAGGTCATTGACCGGACTTGCTCAATCATGTTTCAATGATGTATATTAAACCATTCAAAAGTCAGAACTTAAGTTTGTGTGTAAACCAAAATTTTCTATTTTTTATTATCTCACTGCTCAAACTCATTATATAAGCCAGCATATATATGTATAACTTTTATAGATATAATATATAAACCATATATCATATATATATATACATACACAATCACATACTATGTATTTAGTAACGACTAAAATGACGAGCTCTCAGATATCAAAATGTCTTCGAAGATTGAGCATTCCCTCTTTGGACTGACAGCTCGACAATCATGATGAATGGCGAAAAAGAATTAGTGGATATTTTTTTGCTATTTAAAGCAAGAAAACTGATAAATATTAAAAAAATATATTTATCTAGAATCAACCCTTTGGCATTCTTTAATGAGATTTGGAAGCTGGAGACAGACTAGAAGTGTTTTTTACAAAATGCTCAATCCGACAACTAACTAAAGATGTGGTGCGAGTTAAAGTTTTATAAGTTAGTCTTTTTTCCCCATGAATTTTTCATCAAATAAAGAGATAAGAGTTAACTAGTAAAATAAAGATAAAAATGCTAGGCAAAATTTCTGTTTTTTTTTTTTTATTCATGATTATGATGATGGTTATCTTAGAAACTAAGCAAGATTGTGAAAAAAATAATTATAATCAATCTCATTACCATGTTAAAAATTGTGTTCGTTCCATTTCCCTCTATATCTTTTTTTTGGACATTCATTGAAATAACTAGGTTAAATACACAAACACAAACAGCATTAAAAAAATAACAACCAACCTGAAAACAGGGGACAATGCACAAATTCGTTTGACATTCAGGACAATGATATTTTGTTTTTCTTCTCAATATTCTACCATGCTTATCAATAGTATTCCAGCAAAAATTGCATCCCAAAGCTGGACCAGGACGGAGAACTGGACAGTGGCAGGCTCTCGCTGCTTCACACGGTTCATTTGAACACTAAACATTGGAAAATTTACATCAAAATATATTGTACCGCATTTAATAAATACAACAGGATATTTAATAATATTTTAAACAATATAAAAGGCTCATATTTAAATAATTATTTTTAGCACTTATTAAATTAGTAATGTGACAAAAAACATATATTGATTTTCAAATTTTATATTGCTTTGCCTATAGTTCTTCTTTCTTAACATAAAATAATATGAATAATATTATATTAAAACTTAAATCAAGCATATGGAAATTTCAGAATGATTGCTATTATCGGAACTATCCCGGACAACCATATAGTAAAATCTTTGAAATATTGAAAAATAATATAGGAACATTTAGAAATGTACCTCATTAAGATTTGTTTATAAGCTCAATTCTATTGAAAGTTCAATGTTGGAGCTAGAATTTCTTTCAGAATTCAGTCGCAGATCATTTTATCAATGAAATCTTGTCAGTTGAGATATTAATACAGATTCGAAAATGGCATTTTTATTTTTAAATTATATGTAAGTACATAAAAATAGTTTCCACATATAAATGACTTACATACTTAGTTACTTTCCTTGGTTGTTGTAGAACTATAATTATTTTATTTTATTTATTTATTTTTTTTTTGCTATTGTACATATGTATGGTTGACTTCGACAGGTTAAAATCACAACTGACTTCAGTAGCATCAATATGTATCTCTAAAAGGTTAAAAATTTTCATATTAATGTCTAGCATTAGATTAACGTTTTAATTTATATACTTTATCAGTGTGCATTTTCACGTTTTAACAAGACAGAGCTGTTATATTAGAACAGAAGAGAAAGAAAAGTAAATCATAATGTTCATAATAAGCTCGCAACTCGATAGAATTGGAAAGATACAATAATGTTTAAATAGAAAATTCTTGGTCCTAACTAATAAAGCCCAATAAAATATTACGATAGTGGTACAATAACTTGAATTGTGAATTAAAAATCTATTAACTATCACTGCAATCACTATATGTAATCCAAATGTATTTGTCCTTAAAGTTGAAATATAAACAAAATCTTGTCAATGTTATAATATATTCGTTACATTTACTATCATGTATAAAAATATTAGATTTAAATACATATTTATACAGGGGGAAGGGGAGTGAGACTGGTTGACATAAGGGGTAGATTGACCATCAGCAATCCAAGGACTATAGATCCCCTACCTTTTCTCCCCCTGAAAGTCGAACTGTACTGTTTATTCAAGTTTTCAGTGTAATATCAGCTTCCATGGAAGAAAAATCTTTTTCTAAGGTTAAGGCAAATATAGTTATTTTTCTTTAGTCTTTTGAAATCACATCAATAGATGTGACATAACATCTGATGTTTCGGGACAATTTTCCCATCCTCAGAGAATTCCTTATGTTTACTGGAATTATACATATTTGAAATGAACTATTTTACATTGTTAATTTACTCTATCTATTGTATAATTATATGCCTTGATTTTGTGATCATTTTATTGTATGTTATTATTATTATTATTGTATTAATACTATTTTAGTGTATTTTTGACAACTGGTGGCACATCATAAAATCAAGGTAGATAATTATACAATAGATAGCGTAGATTAACAATGTAAAAATAGTTCATTTCAAATATGTATAATTTCAGTAAACATAAGGAATTCTTTGAGGATGGGAAAATTGTCCCGAAATGTCAGATGCAATAGATGTGATTGATTAAAAAAGACTTGAGAAAAATGGAAGTATATTTGCCTTAACCTTAGAAAAATATATAAACAGAAGCTTCCTAATAAAAAAAAAAAAAATCTTGTATTTCACCGAAAAAAGTGAGTTCTGCTAAGCAGATTCTTAAATTAGGCACCTCGTCAATTCTTTGTAACTTATTATTCTCATCTCAATTGTTATTATTGTGGTGTAAATCTTCTTCTTGACTTTTGCTTTTCAGTACCTGGGAAAACAGTTAAGAATCTGGTTTGGAGCTATTTGACAAACACGTTACTTTTAAATATTAAGCTGCTTTATGAACAATTTGATATTAATATGATTCATATTAAATACAAAGTCTTAGAGAAAAAATATTTGTAAAAAAAATAGAAAAAATTTAAAATAAAAGATGGAGAAATAGCCTTTCCACGTCGAAAAAAAAAAAAAATGTACAGATGATTATTTTTTCTTTGTAATGTTTTCCAATACAAAACATGATAATTTGTTCACAGTTGTTATTAATTTTTCAACGAGTTCTTCCAAACTGTGGGTTGATTGGTATAATGTTCAAAACAAAGAATTGACTATTTCAATATTATACTTTTTATTTACATGCTTAAACCACCATATGATAATTAGGAATATATTAAACAGGTGGGTTAAATTGAATTTTCTAAACCAATGCCTTATATATTACATTATTTCCTCCTTAAAAAGTCTCATAAGTAATTCTTTTCCGAGTCTAGCTTGTTTTTTCTGACCTCACCTTGTTTTTAACCACTTCAATGTCTTCTCATTCTTTTTTATTTTACCTTCTTCCTGTTCCTCTCCGGTTTCTGTAGTGCTCTTATCTTCTCTCTTCCCTTCCTATAACTTATCCTTAGGTAAGTTTATATTTTCATCACCGAATATGACTATACAATTTCTATCCAACATAATAAGCAATAATAAATTATTTTTCCAAACTTTTTTTTAATTGATGATGGTCAGCTTTTTCTACATTTTTGTTGACCTTTTGAGTAGTTTTCACATTTTTTCCCTTGTTCTGATCATTTATGAAATCTAATCTAGTTCTATGAGGTATCCCAAACATCAATGGGAGCCATTATTTGAAACAAATTGTTTTGGGAGACCATATATGGAAAACAACTCCACTAAGCCCAATAATGTTTTGTAGGTGATGGCTGCACCCAGTGCCAGCCTCAGATATTTGACGCCCCTGGGTAATGACATCATCTCTTACCTCTCCCTAAAAAAGTTAAATTTATTTCTTAAACAGTTTTATATTAGGCAATATTAGAATTTAATTTCATTAAATATTTCTCTAATATAGTTGCTTTAATCATAGACTAATATTAACTATTTTAATACATTTTGTATTTTTTTTTTCTCTCAAGTAGCAAGCACCCCTAATGATTGGCATCTCCAATGGGCACCCCTCCAGGATGGCACTTAAGGGCAATTACCCTAAATATCTTTTATTATCAAGGGGTCCCATGAAATCCACATGCACTCTAGTCCAGGGTTCTTTTGGTCATTTCCAAGAAACAAGTGATGACTTTTGAGGTCCAGATTGACATCTGCATACTTAACATTCATTGATTACTTGTTCTATACGATTCATACTAGGCCACCAAAAGTGATCCTGTGCCAGTAATGTGGTCTTTACTATGCCCAAAAGAAACACATGAAGGCATCACAATACTTGATTGATCTATCTAACTTTACTTAATTGAGAGGTCATGGTACATTGAATAGTAAATGTTCAGCTCATTTGGAACTTGCTTGGAATAAAAATTAACATTTTTAATTTTCAAATCTCTCTCTCTGATTCCTCTTGAATATCTGTTTAGACCAAGCTGATTGATAAGTAAAATGTATCTGATAAATTCACCAGTGTAAACCTAACATACTGCAACCTCCTGTAATGGATGTTTTGAGAGGTAATCTGCTCAATTCTTCTGACTTGGTACATACACCATCTTAAAGTCATAATAAATCAAATAGAGAGCATAATTATTTAACATATTAGCTGTCATAACAGGAAGTTCTCTTTTGAATCCAAAAATATCACTAACTGTTTGTGATCAGTTTAGAATATAAACTTATTGGTATATAAATATTGAGAAAATTTATTAATAGCAAATACCCAGAATTCATAACTAATGGGATGCCTTGAACCATCCTTCTTCATGCTGTAAAACTCCTGAAATAACAACTGGACTGGCATCCACTGAAACAATCAATTTCATACGTGTTTTATAAAATTGATAAACCACAATCATTGAGCCTTTCCATTACTTGAATTTATTTTTCATGGAAACGAAACTCTATTGTAACAAAATCTACCTTTATGGACGACTATGGTTATATACTCTTTCGGAACATTTTTTAGTGCTACCAGCTAAAATCCTTTGAGATCAATCTTACTGAAATACTTTGATTCCTGGATATTGTAGAATATATCCTGCACTCTTGGTGATATTTTTTTCCATTTTTCGGATGCACGGATTCAGTGTTAACTTAGAGTCACCTCAAATTCTTATATCACCATTAGGTTTGACTACTGGAACAATAGATATCCCCCATTGGTCATACTCAATACGACTAGCGATACCTTCTTTCAATATTCGTTGGATTCTTTACTCCACTTTTCCTTTAAGAGCAAAGGAGAGTCTACTGAGTTTCAGCATTTTTGGTTTAACAATGGGGTTAAACTTTAAAACCACTTTAAATTTTCTAAAATTATCAGCAGATACTTCTGGAAACATTTTAACGATCATTTTTCTCACCTATGAATTTTTCTGAACTGGCTAATGTACCTCGAAGTTAAAACAGCCCAGGAAGTTTTTCCCCAAGATAATTCCTCCTTCATTGGGTCCCACATGAAATGAAATTTTCTGAGACACATTATTATCAAGAACTAGCAGAATAACATTGCATAATATAATTTTTTTCAATCAGCTTTTTGCCACTGAAATATTGCCAATAAGTAGCATCTGACATAGTACAAATAGAAGCTCCTATTTCAATCTGAACTTCCAAGGTTATTCCCTCAATATTAACATTAATTACAATAGAAGGATTAATTTCCAGATTATACACATAATTAAATAAAAAGTTATTACTTAAGGAACTAGATGAGTCTTCATGATGACTTTCTTTGATATTACAAATATAATTATTCTTAAATGCCCTACTTGCATTTTTCTGTTGCTTGTATTCTTTGAAGTTTTTAACATCTTTCTTAAAATGTTCTTTAATATGATAGTTTGAACATTTATAATTTTTAT